ATTGGTGAAAATTCATACCATACGACTGGACTATAACATGTTACCAACGTCCTGTTAGTTCGATTTCGTTTTAAAAGGGATGTAAGAGAATTTTTCAAAGAGCGTCATACCAATCATTCTCAAAAGTTGTTTGATCGGGTTACAACGTTCAAGGCCTCAGTAAAGCTTTCAAAATATAACGTATTATGGTAGACATGTGCATGGCGTTCCCGCATGTGTTTGTGACGGGTGCCACCTGTGGGGCAGGATATGCTCGCATTTCCCCAAACACCTGGTGTCATAAGGGGCGGTCGGGTAGCCTAGTGGTTAAAGCGTTCGCTAGTCACGCCGAAGACCCGGGTTCGATTCCCGACATGGGTGCAATGTGTGAAGCCCATTTCTGGTGTCCCCCGCCGTGATTTGCTTGAATATTGCTAAAAGCGGCGTAAAACCATACTCACTCACCTGGTGTCATCACTATTTGATAGCGTTTCATGAACACATGTTTAATATCGTATAATTGAGTGTGCTTTTAGTTGAGATTTCTTATGCTTGTGAAAATGGTTTTGTCGCTTATATTTAAGTGTATTTTAGGAATTCTTGAGGAGGTCGATACATTATGTTCATTGTATCTGTTAAAGAGAGAAGCGTCATGGCATGGGAACCCCATATTTGTTTCTTGGGTGTAAAATCATCCTATTAAAGTAAGCTTCTGTACCTGCGGTACTTCTGCCTCTGCTTTTGATAAACGAAAGTGTTAACCACCTATTTAATCATAGTTCTACATTAACAAACAATTATCAAAGGCGTTTCAACCAAATTCCGGATGAAGTGAACCATGTGCGTACTATTATGACGTCACGTCGCTCTTCAGTAAAGTACGTCATGGGATGGTATTATCAAGTGACAGTTATCACAATGTAACTAATTATATTGTTTTTGACAGGAGACCAGAGACGTTGCCATATATGGAGCTGTTGTACCACCTGTCAATGCCTGTTCTGATTGTTATAGTTAATCATTGCCTCGGAGGTAAGATTTGTATTTCTCAACTCTGGAATTTCCTTTTGTAGAATGAAAGGGGATGTCTGCTGCAATATGATCGGTTAAAAAAATGTTTCGGACTTAAATGATATTTTCCTATATGCCTTTTCTCAATCCAAAGTTTGAGAAAACGTGACCATTGCCGGATTTTTGTCACACTCTGCTAACGAGGTGGAATCAAGGAAGCATGTGGCGTCATACCATACCAATGTGACGTCATGTCTGTGAGAGTTCAATTGCTTTCGGTCTACCTCGCCCCTTTCCGTCACTTTCCGTAATCGCAAAGAAAACTCGGCTGTGAGTGTAGGAAATGGACCAACTTCTGCCCCGACGGTAAACACGCTTCCGCCTAAACACGATTTCGGATGCACATTTTTGCATGTTAACGTTTCATCTGTCCCGTTAGTCTTATATATACTTAGCTACTTATCAAGAAGAATTTATGCTAAATTTATTCCAAATCCACTCGTATATAACTGCGTTCTAAAAATATAGTCCCAACATGTTGATGTAAACAAATATAAATTGTTCAGGGTCCGACCCGGGTCTGGCGAGATATACTGATAAGGGTATATAACTGAGAGAAAAAACATCGTAAACGTAAGATGAGTCACAAAACGTAAGCAAACGACCGCCTTTACCGCATAAGACGCAGTTTCCTACCCCTGTTAAGCCATTCCTTACTGTCGTCTGCACGCTAGGATTCTTCCATGTGGTGAAAAATAGTCCCGGCTTGCAATGGCCACGAGTCAGCTCTGTCCAGACAGAGTTCACGTAGAGGGGAGATGCCATGGAACATTATGTGTTATTTGCGGGTGTTATTGAGAATTTGGTGCCAGGACATTTCATTTGAAATACATTACCGTTATCGAATGAATCATTTAGCGACCTAAGCGCACACATGCCATCATGGCAAGATATTTCTTTATTGCGTACAGAGACATTCTTCACAGGACCGCGAATAGTAGTGATCCAGTATGTCTTGTATATCAATTTATATATTGATTCTAGCAATCTAGTAACTTTTCTCAGGCTTATTATTTTAATCATTGATTTATCACATTATGGTGTTAATCATATGTAGTAATTCTGGTTATGTAGTAACTCTTTTGATGTTTGTATTGTAGTAATCTAGTAATGTAGTAATTCGTGTGATATATGAATTGTAGTATTCTACTACTGTAGATATCTTGTGATGTAGGAATTGTAGTAATCTACTAATGTAGATATCTTGTGAAGTAGGAATTGTAGTAATCTAGCAATGTTGTAACTCTTGTAATGAGAGAATTGAAGTAAATCTGCTCACTGTGGTGTATTGTAATCTTCTAATGTAGTAAGTCTTGAATTGTAGAGTGAGTGAGTGGGTTTAACGCCGGTCTGAACACTATACCAGTTACATCAAGGCGTGTCAGCTTGATGTGGGAGGACAGCCCGAAGTGATGCAGGTCTTAGACGTTTACCACTTCGGTGAATCCCACGAGGACAGTGTTAACAAACCTAGATTCATAACCAGGATTCGAACCCACGATCATAAATTTCAGGCAAACCTAACGGACACAACGTGTATGGTGCCGACAAACCTAGAAACATACATGTGTCGAACCGGGATTCGAACACACGGTCATGGTGTGTTGTAGAGATTATAGTAAATATACTTAAGTGGTATTTCTGGGGATTACAGTTTTCTACCAATGTGGACATTGTGGGCGATGTAGGCTTTATAGTTTTCTACCAATGTGGTAATTCTGGAGATTTGGTGATTTTAGCTTAACCATCAATGTATTGGGGCGGTCGGGTAGCCAAGTGGTTAAAGCGTTCGCTCTTCACGCTTAACTCAAAAGAAGAACACCCGATTCGTTCATATGAATATAGTTAATCTGTCATGTCATAACATATTAACTGTAGTCATATGAAAACAATCGGGAGTTCTATACCCTCTTTGGAGTAATATATATATATATCTGTTCCATGAGCTGCAACTCTTAAAAGTCGTTTATCTGAGGAACTTTACAAAATGGAACAAACTCAGCCTTACTTTAATTGCAATGAAATTTCTACAGATAAGAAAACAGGACTTTAGACCCAGGTATTATGACCGTTGAAAACAAAATCTTCTAACATCCTGCATATTCGTCTCAGGCAAGGATGTAGTGAAATAAATGAATAATTGATCGAATACATTTGTTTGTGGGATACTTAGCAAACATGAGCCCCATTACGTGTTTGAATGTTCAATATACAAGACAAATTAGAGTTTAATTGATTAGAAATAACACACTAATTATAAGTAGGGCTACCATGACTTGAATTTTGTGCTGCGCAGAGACAGAAATATTTTGGAAAATAATGACATTATGAAATAGTTCATCATTTAGACGAATTTCATTGGAGTTTTGTATCGAAGTAATAAGGCAACGCACATTTAAGTGCTTCTAGTGCTTGTATATGTACAACTGTAAAATGTTAACTCACAACATATGTTATTAACATCGAAATGTATATGGCCTTGGAACCATATGTTTTGGTAGGGGCGTTGTAATGATATGTATAGGTAAGGAGTAGGGACTTTGTAACTATATGTAAAGGTGAGGACCTTGTAACCACATTTATCATATAATGGGTAGGTTTCTCGGCAGGATAAAGCCAACGGATAAAAACGACATCCGTTGGGGTCATATGCGGATAGAGATGCAAATATCAAAGGTCAAGTAGGGACTACTTTCACTGTTTATAAACAAACATGGCGTCGCACTCGTCATTCGGCGATCGAGTCAGAATTAACCATCGGGAATCTGGATAAACTACAGGGATAATTGCTATCATTATCAAAAGAACAGTCTAATATACTGAAAATCTGTGTCTAACTGTGACGCAGCTAAGGCATTTTATAAGTTTTGGCAACTTTAGAGAAGCGGGATCAGTAGCCATATCTGTGCTTGTAGACCTCTGCGGCTTGAAACCTTCTCCACAAATTAAAATAGTTGGATTAGTTGAAATATGTTTGAATTGTTACCTTGTTTCGTTTTGTCGCTGTGTGTACATCTGAGTACATTTCTTATCGTTATGACAGGACAGACCGACTGTCAACAACGTCTGACCGTGGCCGTGACGTCTCATTGACTAGGATTAGAGTAGCTTCCCTTTGACAGAGGGCAGTTACTCTAGCGGACAGACCGATGGATTGCCGCAAAAGGCAATTAAAAACAATTGTTGTTTTGCGTATATGTTGCTTCGCCGCTGTATAAGAAACAGATTTCAGTTGGAACTATATTGGCTACTGTCACTGTCCGACTGACACATCACTTACCCTGTGACGTAATAAATATTAATGCGCGCATTCCAGGCAAACTCGCAATGTTTCGGTAATGTTTGTGAGGGAGGGAAAGCGATTTTGAAGCACAGAATTAAAGAATGACATTATATGATAAAGAGGTTAACACGCTTGTGTGTTTGGGGATGGTAAATATCCTGTATTAGGAATAAACACTATGTATTTAGCTCGCCAAGGCTCGCTAAATAAAATGTTTATTCCTAATGCAGGATATTTACCATGCCCAAACACACTCGCGTGATAACCTCTATGTACTGGTATGGAAACCTTGTATTGTAACCATATGCATAGGTAAGGTAATCAGAGAACAAAATACGTGATTCACTTAGGAAGATAAATAAGGGATGTCAACTTCCTTATTATGAGGAACACAACATTTCGCAGTATATACTTACTACTTCATCAGGTGAATGAATGCTACGAGGCAGAGAACATATATATGTACATGTAAGGACAACAATAGTAATAAGATAACAAAAGGTGGAAATTTAACAAGGGATACAAACAGATAATTGGCGCTGATAGGTGATTAGCAATAGACAATGAAAGCCAACACTTTACAGTAATTGGCGCCTGATAGTTGATTAGAAAGGGCAACTGGAAGCCATGACTTAAATTAACACTGATTGGTAATTGGCAATGGACAATGGGCAAACGGGAGGCCGGGGGTAATCACCTCCGACAGGTAAAAGAATGGTCATAGCAATGGGCAAATGGAAGCCAGCTGGAATGATCCACAATAAACTATCAGCGCTGATTACTGCTGAGTGCGGCGTTAAACAACAAACAAATAGGTTATATGTTTGAGAAGGTCCATCAAACGCACAACAAATACTTTGTCGAAAATAATTAGGATTGTCAAGAATAATATTTTCGAGACATACATATCAAAATTCCAAGAACCTAATTGAGGGGCATAATCACAATACAGGAATGTTCTGTGTAGACTACGGTTACCCATCAAATACGTGGTTGCAAACTTTATTAAAAACAGAAGTTAAAATACACTACTCAAAGTAAGCTTAGGATCAAGTTTTGATGATATCGAAAAATAATCCAAGAAATAAAAATTGAAATATCCCGGTTCACAATCATCGGGTAACCCCATTGGACCTCGCTTTCATGATGAACGGACAGATGAATGCAGTCCTGAGCACGGTGTGTATATCTCGTGACGGAATCGTTTCACATCATGATCAGAGAGCAAGCACAACAACATTTGCTACTGAGGATTGCAACAACTGAATGCACTTAATCAAAGTCAGCGTCTAAGAATTAGGCAGATGTATAGGCATGCTTGAAACTGAGTCAACACAGCGTCACGTTGCAAACGTCTTTGGTGTCAGCCAAAGTGTGATTAGCAGGGCATGGAAATCGATTCCCGACGTTTGAATCAGCTACCCAGCAGGTGGTCGACAGCATTCCGCCTTAAAGCGGGAAGACACAGTCAGGTTTATCCGGTTTGCAGCAAGACGTCATCACTTCGCGACTGCCACCACACTCCGAAACGACCTGCGACACGCCAGTGGCTTTAACGTTTCTACTCAGAAAGAGCGTAAACGACCAGTTTCCGGTCACAGAGGGCATGCATTCGCATCCCACTGAACCGACATCACAGACAGGCCTGTTTGGATTTGCTGAAGATCGTGTCAAAAGGACAGACCAGGACTGGGTACCCATATCCTCACGCGCTTTCTGATTGGCTTGCTCCAATTTACGCATGACAGCCTTCGAGATTGAGACAAGCCTTTTTGTAGGTTATGGACACATGCGCGTAGTGACGCATGTCGTTTCTCTTGTTTCCAGTGATAACCGAATTATGTCAGTCGGCCTTATATTTATACCCAATTACTTTTGCCTCGCCGGTCGATTACACACGCAATATGTGTCCCTTCTTTAGACACCTTACGTTACAACCCCTCTCAAAGCAACCCTAAACCCAATTCCCTCACTCACCCTCATTTTGGAATCATATTTTTCTAATTCAGAGAAAACGTTTGAAGTCACCATCGTAGGAAAACTTAAACCTGGAAGCACCCTTATTGACTTGGCTCAGAAAGACAACACAGTGCAAAAATGTACCACAGAGAAAGAGCTAAAGAAGTACTTCGCCTGCAACAACGCCAAAGTGATGTGTATCCAGGAGTTGGAAGATGGGAGAACAGATTTCACGTTGAAAGTCAAGTAAGTTCCAGCTGGTCAGGTCATTGCGGTTATTGTTCTCTAGTAAGGGGGTCAGCCACTGTCATTAGGGGCAGTGGGATAGTCTAGTTGTAAAAGCTTTCGTTTGTCACGTCGAAGAACCAGGTTCGATTCCCACTATTGTGTGGAGCCCATTCCTGGTGTTTTCCACCTTGATATTGCTTGAATACTGCCATATGCGGCGTAAAACCATACTCACTCACTGCCTTGTATCACGTATCAAATATGGTTATTGATTTTGATAACACGGAATAGTATAATGAGAGGTTTCCTTACAAAAGTATTTCCGCTGTGTTTACAGCTATGTGTCAAGCCAGAAAGATAACATCTTCCCGAGGCAAGGGCATTAACTGACTATAAAAGTCCACTTTCCACCCTTGCCGAACTAGGCTGGAATTTCCTAGCTCTAACGTAGCGCCACCAGTGGCTATACCGAGTTATATCCCTTCTATATTCCTCCTATTGACCAATCAGAATCCATCTCTCATATCACTTGCATTTGCTTGAACAAAACGGCAGAGATCTGCTCGAAAGTCAAGATCGGTATTGTAATAAAACGGATCTTACCCCGCGAAGTACATCAGATCACGTGAGCATCTTGATTAAAAACATAAAAGATCTTGCAAAATAACTGTCGACCCCCATTTGGCGGTACACGTCCTTTTTAAATCCTGCAGTCGACCGAAATCTGCACTTTGAAATCCAAGTTGTTTAATAACCGGATGTCTATTTCGTCACGCGATTTGATTTGACTATGCATAGGCTCGTTAGTCAAGCCAAAATGTAACTCCATTATTGCAGCCTTGTTCGGCAAGGGTGGAAACTGGACTTTTACAGTCAGTTAACTCCCTTGCCTCGGGAAGATGGAAAGATAAACATGTACACACATGTAGTAATCTAAAGAGATAATAGCCATAGTTGGATACAACCAAGGCGTTGCAAGATTAATATGCACCAATCGCAACTGTTGTTTAAACTTTACAATAATCTGTAAGCAAATCGGATTTGCTGAAACGCTAGTGATGTTTCATGGGTGTTGGTTGACATGGATCTAATTAGGTACAATGTGACCTCGTTAATACGGACCCCTTTAGAGCGGTGACGTCGACCCCGCTTTCCGACCATGTTTGTAGGAATGCTCATACACGTTTATAACGAACTAACGGATATAACGAACTTATATTTTGGCCCCGACCATTTGCTGTACACAAGCTTATAACGAACTACGGTTATAACAAACTGATATTAGTGGTATCTTTGAGTTCGTTATAACCGTAGTTTACTGTATATCTACATGTTTTACTATGAAACAAACATATGTGTTAATACGGACCCGGTCAGTGCGGTAACCCCGCTATCCGACCATGTTGGTAGGAATGGTTACAGATCTACATGTTTTACTCGAAAACAAACACCCAGATGTGTTAACCCAGAACCGATATGTTTATACATGTACATGTTTTACTCGGAAACAAAAATCCAGATATGTTTAAATATGGACCCCGTTGGTGCGGTAACCTCGTTATCCGGCCATGTTGTTAACCCGTATGTTAACCTGTATGTGTATTGCTATCACTTCTCTTTTATTAAATTGTTATAACATATGTTTGCCATGAAACAAACACTTTTCTCACACAGAAACTCATACCATGTCTTGGAAGTTCACCCTATACAAGTGCTTACTGTGCTTAACTGTCTGCATGCTCTATTCACCTAGACGACAAACAGCCTAACTTATCAGTATACTGGTTTTCATATCCATTCATATACTTTTCACAGTTATTTTGCCCTTTACGTCAAATGGAATCTGTTTCTAGCGGTAATCTAGACCGGTTTTCTTTTGCATTGACAATTCATATTTATCATCCAAAACTGGCTCCCACAGGAGATATCGCTTGGATGAGATCAAGATTTATTACTTGCCCGTGAAGAGATCACCCGTTTAATAAACATACAGCTTTATTACACATTGTGTAATACCAAAACGCGTGCTTATGTACTCTCGGAACACGTTTCACGAACAAATATTGAAAGCTCTCAATATCCCGTGGCGTATTCAACGACATTGTGTGTGGAGATGATAGATCACTGGGAGGAGCTTATGCACACTCGATGACCCCAGCAACCTTGTTGCTAGGCTGACGTCACATGGCATTGTTTCGCCGATGGATCTTGCAACAAAATTCAACAAATTACGTCATCGGGTATTGTGACGTGATTGTAAACTTTGAGGTGCAAGGCCCCGTTCCACAAGGCGATCGTACTCTAGCGCAACGACAGTCGTTAGTCTAAGTTAAATTATGTGAGTTGTGATAGTCTTAGCACTACGATAATTTTGTGGGACGAACGCCTGACTTCTAAAGGTGGACCATTGTATGATATTAAATTCATACGTTTCAACTATTGACGTGTTTGAAGTATTATTCTGTTAAACTCCATTGGATTATGCCATGGATCGTGTAGGTGTCAGCCTATTTGCACTCAACAGTATAATTCTAAAAACATTATAAATGACAAGTAATAAATAAAATACTAAACTCGCTCTCGTGTAAAACCAATTTTATGAAACTCGTGAATAGTTGTGGTAACTATTCACTCGTTTCATAAAATTGGTATTACACGGGAGCTCGTTTAGTATTCTATATATCTACGTTGTAGATATCGCTTCAATTAAATTGCATCATAATGCTTTGCAGACCATTGTGACGTCATTGTTACCATGACGTCACAATCAAATGACATCACTAATGTCTCTGCTACTAAAGCTGTTAGCAGTAGTTTTTACACAGGGACAGGGACATATATGTCCCTCCTCTACAACCCTTACTTTGAAGTCGAATAAAATTCAAAATACATCACCCACACAAATACACTTCACAGTTTTGAATAAGGTGGGAGAAATTCCCTGTTCTGTGATATCATCCACTAGCATTTTAGGCCGAGCAAAAGTACTGAAAATGACCTCTGAAAATTAGGTACATCGCACATGTCGCCATTATTTACACATGACTAATTCACCACTCAGGGCATTATTTACAGCATGTTTTGAAATCTAAATTTAGGATATTTACTCGGAGAAATGTATTTAAAAAATAGCATATTAGTGAGCACGGGTATCTGTTTTTTATGAAATCACCAATGATCATTCCAAGACGTCTCCGATAACCCTAGAATCGTTTAGAATGTTTTTGAAAATACGAACACGAACGCCGAATTGAAGTTTCCGCCATATTGGATAGTGTTTACAAAATCACGTTTCAGGTACATCGGTTATGAGGCGCCTGTAACATCACGTATATTTCAAACTTAGCTGCGATACACACATCCTTGAATTCCTCATACATTTTAGAATCAAATGACCAATGGTCTTTGTCAACAATACAAAGTGGCTGGATGAAATCAAGCAAAATATGTTAGGTGTGAAAACGAACGCTGTGCTCGAAAACAGCACTTGTTTGAAATGTAAACAAAGCAAAATACAGATTTTACACAGTGTAGCATTTTCTCCTATTTTGAGCTAGATCTATCCATTCGTCTATTCTTTCAAGATATTTGCTCAACATTTTCAGAATATGCATGGGAAGAGAATAGTAGGAAAACTTAGGGAATTTAAAATAGATTCATTGCAATGATTTGATATTTTCAACAGAAATTGTCAAAGTTACCGTCCTGTGTGACGCCATGACTGACGCAAAATCACGCACAACGACAACGGTATTTATCGGAATTTCTGACTATTTCGGTTTGTTACAATGAAAATTATAACAACAAATAATGTCACATTTATGTTTATATGATCCCTGAATCAACGAAAGTCCCCTCGTAAAATCCCGCGTACTGTTGACAGTGAACACGCCATTTTGTAAAAGTCGGTCACAGGTAGTGATGTCATACGTCAACATTGTTGTACATATTTGGTAATTACTTTGAGGTGAAGGTCCTTGAATGAGAGTGCACACGATCATTGTATCATGCTGTTTACAGTTTCAGTTATGATGTAGATTTTGCATTCTTTCACACATCATACGATATTTCTTTCCTTTTGGACAAGTGTTACAAGATGAAGTGTAAATGTCAACTGCAACATGTTCGTATTTCTTGGGATGTGTAATAGTCAATATTATAAGTTCATATAACCGTGCAATGTCCTTGAATAGCTGTTTCATTTTATTTTATAACTAAAACTAACTATATTACTTTAACAAAATGGATAATGCTTTTCGTTAAAATATATGCACACATTTCTGAAAGAATTGTCTTGGTCTTGGAATTGTTTTTTATATTGTTTGATACACATGTACAGAACAGTGATATCTAACGATTCGCCGGGTGCGCGTAAGTCACAAACAATTTACGAATTATTCCTCTCGTTTTGCATTATATAATCAATGGATTCTTTCTTTTTTTCAATATTGTGATCACACGATATTAAACTGTTTACTTTATTTCTCCAGGAATTGTAAAATGTATAAAAATAAAATTCATGCCAGGTACCCCGTTGGTTCAACCTTAAACGATTATCCTAATAATTCTATACCAATAGAGCTTTCTTCGCATCTTTTATTGTGTAATTCTGAGACGAGATGATGAGAAATAATAACATAGTAATGAACAAATATGTGTCCAACATTAAATTTAATTTTGTTGTTTTGAAATATTCTTTTGGGTATTTCATTACGTACATTGATGCCAAACAGGTGCGTGTCTTGTCCAATTAAGATACACGATAAACTATCTAATTGATTACATATTCAAGACATTATTTACTTGGTGAAATCAGTCATTTTATGTTGTGTCGAAAAAGCGTCAAATTCCGTTTTACACATCGAGATTTTCCATACCATGAACGAAAATTAGGGGAGATATATATTAATCAAAATACCAGTGTCGTCTTTCTACGACGTTGTCAAAGCCATAAAACCAGCCATGACGTCAAATAGAATGGTGTTATTTGGAGGTATTTCATTACATTTGATGATAAGGCTAGTGCTCCATTAATAATGGTACAACATTAGTCAAATTACACTTACACATTCAGGAAAATGTTGGAATCTAAGGACTAAGTTATAGGTTAGATAGGGCCATCCATTTATCTATTACCTCTTTTTTATAAAGTACGATTTCCATCATTTCTTATGGGTTTTTTTATAACTAAACGTATACAGTTTCTTTATCGATATTTCTGTTGGAATAGTTTTGTTCCTCGTGAACAAAACACCACGAAAAAATATTATCCTTACCCACAGCTAATTCTCACCAAGTGACCTGAGTTACAATAATCTAGTGCAAAGCAAAGCGGAGTTATGCCCCCTTTTCTTTGTACGTGTGTAACCTCTCTGTCGCCTTTTGACGTCATAGAGAAAAATCAGTTTTCGCCATTTACGGCATGCTATTTTGGGCATTGAATGTATGTCGTTATACATACGCATACAACTCCATTTAATATAGTTATGTCGTTCAGATACAAGGCAGTATTTTATTCGCTCACAGTTTCCGTAAAGCTTCTAAATAAAAAAAATCGTCGCACAGTACTTTTATCGGTGTACGATAAAAAGCGGAGAAATTTACTGTTTTCAAGGCAGAATAAATTCTCGGACAACACTTAGAAGTGTACTTTTTTTAAACCGGTTTCATATTTACAGTTAACTTTACATCATAAAATAGGAAATTTAATATTCTCCACCTCTTCGTAATTTTAAGGCCAGAGGTAAATCAAGTGCCGTGTGAACGCAATTCTCGCATAACCTTCACTTTTCCGATCTTAGGAAAATGTGCGTCAGAAAAAAAAACTCGGCATCCAGAGGGTTAAGACACTGCTTATTACTGTCTACAAACTGAAAAAGTTGGAAGAATGATGTTGGATGATAAATATTATCTCACCCTCGTGTCTTTTGATATCAAAGGACACGCGGGTGAGATTCTCTATCTATCATATCAGGTAAGCTGATCCTTTGCAGGTTAACTGTGTTAAACTGTCTGTATACTGTATTTAAATAAACGACATACAGCCTAACTCAATATACTTATATCTCGACGGTGATGCTGAATATTACCCTTTTAAAAACACGCTTATCTCGAATTCACGATTGAAGCACTATTTTCTTCTGTACCCCAGTCTACAAGTTAACTGTTAGGAACATCAGGAAAATGTAGCTGGATACATGAACATAAAATTAATCAATAACATTATGTATTTATCCAGATATATATGTCATCTCTTCTCAAGACTGCCGGGTCGGTCGGGTAGCCTAGTGGTTAAAGCGTTCGCTCGTCACGCCGAAGACCCGGGTTCGATTCCCGACATGGGTACAAAGTGTGAAGCCCATTTCTGGTGTCCCCCGCCGTGATATTGCTGAATATTGCCCAAAACGGCGTAAAACCATACTCACTCACTCACTCACTCAAGACTGCCCAAATCACATGTTCGAGGATTGGATCGGAAACAGTTGACATCGTCTAAGTTTTTTTTTAATTCACTTGGTACCCAATTTCGTAGCACGGGTGGCACAACCGTCTAAGACGCTGGTATTCGCTGTGCAATAAACCTATAATCGTGGGTTCAAATATCAGGTTCGCCTTGATTATGTTTCTAGGTTTGTCAGCACCATACGCCGTGGGTTTCACTGAAGTGGTAAACGTCTGAGACCTGCATCACAACGTGCTTTTCTCCCACATTAAATTGGCACGCCGTGATATATCTGAAATATTGATCAGAGCGGCATTAAACTTACTCACGCTTTCACGTGTTAGGTTTCACAATCCATGCAGAAGCTGATTGGTTATGGAGAGGAAGTTGGCACCGATACTTGGTTTGGTTTAGGTGGTGAGATGAGGTGAAATGGTGTTCAACGTCGCGTCCAAGATTATTGCACTTATATAGCGAAGTGCATGCACGTGTGTGTGTGGCTGCTTGTACTAGTTCGGAATGATGTCGATTTATAGTGCTGGCACACTGAGATACCATGCCGCAGTTTAACATGAATACCCCGCTCAGACACAGTATACTGACACCGAGCCGACCAGTCCTTGTTTTAGCCCTTTAATGCCGAGAGCCAGACAGGGTAACAACGTCTTTTACGTCTTTTGGTATGACGCGGCTGGGAATCGAACCCCGCACCTTCCGCTCTCCTGGCGGACTACCACTAGACCACGGAGGCGGTCTATTGTGTGTAGACAATTTAGAGATCAAATCTTAATCTTAGAGTTCAACGTAATGTGGAATCTGTTTCTGTTCACGTTTTGTATCTGATAGCAAGCTTCTTGGACATGGCCTTTGAGGCAAACGGATAACATAATAGTGTGAGGCACCACATTTCGCGTCGAGCAGTTACATCTCTTAAGCGTGCCAGGATCCGCTGATTTTGGAATCAGTCCAAGAATCAACACGATTGTGATCCTATCTCAGGTTTTTACAAAATATATCACCTGCAGTATTTTTCGCCCCGCATGATTGATTGAGTGAGTGATGGTTTACGCCGCGTTTGGCAATATTCCCGCAATATCACTGTGGGGCACACCAGAAATGGGCTTCACCTGTTCTATCTATGTGGGAAATCGAACCTGTGCCGTCGGCTTGTCGAATCTTTAACCGCAAGATTACCACTCCACCGTCCAACAATGAGCTGATAGGCCGGCGTTAAACCTCACGCACGCACGCACGCACGCACGCACGCACGCACGCACTCGATCACGCACTCACGCACTCACGCACTCACGCACTCACTCACTCACATCCATGATTTGCTCACAGAGTTTTCACTGACAAGGAACCGGAAAACGGAACCATCCATGTACAGGTCAAGGAAACTGCAGAGTACACAATCAAATTTGCGGACGTCATGGCCATTCCGGAAGAGATGAAACCTGGCACTGAAGTAAATAAACTATTTTCTGTAACAGGAGTTAAGGACACCGATAAACTCAACTACGCACTCCAAGGTATGTAATTTAAAACATCGATTTTATTGGTAAAGCAGTTATGAAAATACAACCACGCACCTCTCCGTGCCACTCTACACATAAACTGGGTCCAGTCTACCTAAACTTGTAGATATGCGGCCGATTTGTCGTAGACTGCGATTGGACGACACTAAACGAAGCATTTATTGGTCCTAGGTTTCGAATGAATACAAATGGCGGACAACTTGAAGTTTGTTTGTGCTCTCGACAAAATCAGTATGACACACATGCAAGTGTAATAATTTCTTTATTAACCATTTTTTCTTATTCCTTTTGAGCTACCTTTTAGAAAAATGCACTGATGACGACCGACGTCTTAGATAACCACAATTGTCGAATGACGTCAGCAATCGTTAACAATGACGTCGTCATGATAAGATTAGAATGACGTCAATAATGCCGTCCGGATGACATAAACAATACACTGGTGCTCGTGAATGATATTTGCACCAGAGCACTCTCCTACCCAGAGTTCCATGCGGCCGGCAGCCAGCCAGCATAGTACCTCTGCCACAGGCCAGCGCCATGTGACGATTCGTCACATCTTTCACAGTCCATTCAAGATATTGCATATGCTTTTCATCCGTTTCATGTTTGACGAGTCTAAACATTTTCATAAACAAATGTCAAAGAATGTTTACGGTTCATTAAGAAAGTATCCTCATACGTGAAAATCTACTTGTTTTTGCGTAGTTATCCTTTGTTGACATTGGTTATACGGCTCCACGTGCTGTCATCGAAGCCCGACGGAGAGCTAGCGATACGGTCACTTTGATGTGTAAATATATATTGTCATGCAACTCACTGTCGTGGTTGTAGTAGCATATCTATAAAATTATGCAAAACAATATGTAAAGCGCCCCGAAATACTTGCATTAGTCCGTTCTATACTGATTTCTGAAAAAGCGCGGTTGTTTACAAACAAGAGAAAAGTCCGGTCACGTGATATGCAAATTAGCCTGTGGCAGTGGCGTTTTGCCACTGCGCCGGAGTGTGGCACCAGCGCACATACGATTAATATGGACTCGGTTATTTCTAACCCTATGGGTAATAAATTACATTTACCGAACTCTCGTAATATCAAATTCCGTCTCACAGCAAGGAGGGATAACTCAATTTGCTGCAGGTGAAGACAGCCGATACTTGATCATAGACGCAGAAACCGGAAGTCTTAACAGCGGTGTACCAGTCGACAGGGATGGAGAAAATGGCCGCCGCTATTTGAACCGCTTAACTATCATCGTGATCATCAATGACGTCAAATCCCTGTCCAAGCCTGTCAACATATCGGTCATCGACATCAACGACAACGCACCCAATTACATAAAGTCCGAATGGTCTGTGGAAGCGCCGGAGAATTCGACAAAAAGTATGTTGCATGTAACATTGTAAAATGTGTATGTAATTATGATTGGCTGAAATGCGTTGGGATTGGATCATGGATATATTTCGGACTCATCACAGCGTATCAAAATGTTTCTAAAAACACACACACGCCTTTGAAACTCTCGGATGATTTGCCATGGAACGTAATGTCCGGATTAACGAGATTTATATGAAATGTACTCCATCGTTATAATCTAATATCAACACTTCCTTGATGACGTAGCAGAATTTACTCCCTCACAAAACCAGCGACTAAATGAGTGAGTGGGTATTGTTGTACGCCGTTTTTAGAAATATCTTCGCCAGAAATAGGCTTCACACACATGTAACAGAACTGAACCTTGTCATGGGCTCAACGAGTGAAAGCTTTTCCCACCAGACTGCCGCACCACCCCATTACATGAATACATATAGATGAATAAAATATGTAGGATCTTGTACAATCACCACTGTCACCTTAGCTATCCCACACGAACTTACATCAACAAATAAAACATGTAGGATCTTGTACAATCACCTACCCCATCGCAACTCACATCGATGAATAAAACATGTAGGATCTTGTACAATCACCTACCCTATTGCAACTTACATCGATAAATAAAACATGTAGGATCTTGTACAATTACCATTGTCACCTTAGCTATCCCACACCAACTTACATCAACAAATAAAACATGTAGTATCTTGTACAATCACCTACCCCATCGCAACTCACATCGATGAATAAAACATGTAGGATCTTGTACAATCACCTACCCTATTGCAACTTACATCGATAAATAAAACATGTAGGATCTTGTACAATTACCATTGTCACCTTAGCTATCCCACACCAACTTACATCAACAAATAAAACATGTAGGATCTTGTACAATCACCTACCCCATCGCAACTCACATCGATGAATAAAACATGTAGGATCTTGTACAATCACCTACCCTATTGCAACTTACATCGATAAATATAACATGTAGGATCTTGTACAATCACCATTGTCACCTTGGCTACCCCACCGCAACTTTCATCGATGAATCAAACATGTAGGATCTTGTACAATCACCATTGTCAAATTGGCTACCCCACTGCAACTAACATCGATGAATAAAACATTAGGATCTTGTACAATCACCATTGTCACCCTGGCTACCCCACCGCACTTTTCATCGATGAATCAAACATGTAGGATCTTGTAAAATTACCATTGTCAAATTGGCTACCCAACTGTAACTTTTATCAAGGAATATAACATGTAGGATCTTATACAATCACCATTGTCAAATTGGCTACCCCACTGTAACTTTTATCAAGGAATATAACATGTAGGATCTTGTACAATCACCATTGTCACCCTGGCTACCCCACCGCACTTTTCATCGATGAATCAAACATGTAGGATCTTGTAAAATTACCATTGTCAAATTGGCTACCCAACTGTAACTTTTATCAAGGAATATAACATGTAGGATCTTATACAATCACCATTGTCAAATTGGCTACCCCACTGTAACTTTTATCAAGGAATATAACATGTAGGATCTTGTTCAATCACCATTGTCACCTTGGCTACAACACTGCAACTTTCATCAAGGAATATAACATGTAGGATCTTGTTCAATCACCATTGTCACCTTGGCTACCCCACTGCAACTTTCATCAAGGAATATAACATTTCAGTTTCTCAGTCAGATAATATTACCCCTTAGGTTGCCCCACCGCCCAAGAACACAGATGAATAAAACATTACGTTTTTGGACAGATACTATTGCCACCTTGCTTTGCACTGACCTTGACGAGGGGACCAATGCTAAGATCGTCCAGACCATTGTGTCTCCAGCACGCTCCCCCTTCTCCATGTCGGGGAATACTCTAATTGCGGACGTGTTAGACTACGAGGACGTCAGCTACGTCAACAAGACCTACATTCTGACGGTCAAGGCCGTGGATCAGCCAACTAATGGCGTCGCACTATCCTCCAACACTACGGTGAAGGTCAAGGTGAGTTACTGCTCACAATAGGGGCCGACCATTTAATATTTCAGGGAAGAGGGTGGATGTGCTGGGTTCTTTGTTTGAGACAGAACGTCATTTTTTAGAGCGTTAAACCTGTCCAGCAAAGGTTACATTTCTGTAATGTCAGTATGTCAGCAGTTCGTAATGCCAGTATGTCAGCATGTCAATATGCAAGTACGCCAGCATGGCGTTATACCAGTATGTCAGCATGTCGTTATACCAGTATGTCAGCATGTCGTTATACCATTATATCAGAATGGCGTTATACATGTACCAGTTGACCAGCATGTCGTTATGCCAGTATTTCAGCATGTCGTTTTATCAGTATGTCAGCATATAATCATACCATTATATCAGCATGGCGTTATACAAGTATGTAAACATGTCGTTATACCAGTATGTCAACATGCCGTTATGCCAGTATGTCAGCATGTCGTTATATCAGTATGTCAGCATGTCGTTATGCTAGTATGTCAGTATGTCGTTATACCAGTATGCCAGCATGTCATTATACCAGTATGTCAGCATGTCGTAATGCCAGTATGTCAGCATGTCGTTATGCCAGTATGTCAGCATGTCGTTATGCCAGTATGTCAGCATGTCGTTATGCCAGTATGTCAGCATGTCGTTATACCAGTATGTCAGCATGTCGTTATGCCAGTATGTCAGCATGTCGTTATGCCAGTATGTCAGCATGGCGTTATACCAGTATGTCAACATGCCGTTATGCCAGTATGTCAGCATGTCGTTATGACAGTATGTCAGCATGCCGTTATGCCAGTATGTCAGCATGTCGTTTTATCAGTATGTCAGCATGTCGTTATGCCAGTATGTCAGCATGTCGTTATGACAGTATGTCAGCATGTCGTTATACCAGTATATCAACATGTCGTTTTACCAGTATGTCAGCATGTCGTTATACCATTATATCAGAATGGTGTTATACATGTACCAGTTGACCAGCATGTCGTTATACCATTATATCAGAATGGCGTTATACCAGTTGACCAGCATGTCGTTATACCATTATATCAGAATGGCGTTATACCAGTTGACCAGCATGGTGTTATACCAGTATGTCAGCATGTCGTTATATCAGTATGTCAGCATGTCATTTTATCAGTATGTCAGCATGTCATTATACCAGTATGCCACCATGTCATTATACCAGTATGTCAGCATGTCGTTATATCAGTATGTCAGCATGTCATTTTATCAGTATGTCAGCATGTCGTTATGCGAGTATGTCAGCATGTCGTCATATCGGTATGTTAGCATGTCGTCATATCAGTATGTTAGCAGGGCGTTATGCCAGTATGTAAGCATGTCGTCATATCAGTATGTCAGCATATCGTTATGCCAGTATATCAGCATGTCGTCTTGTCAATATGTCAAGATGCCGTTATACCAGTATGTCAGCGTCTCACCATAACAGAATATCAGCATGTCGATATGCCAGTATGTCAGTGTGTCATCTTATCAGTATGTCATCAAATGGTTTTGCCAGTATGGTGCCATGTCGTCATGTCAATATGTCAGGATGTTGTTATGCCAGTATGTCAGCGTGTCGTCATATCAGTATGTCCGCATGTCGTCATATCAGTATGTCAGCGTGTCGTCATATCAGTATGTCCGCATGTCGTCATATCAGTATGTCAGCGTGTCTTCATATCAGTATGTCCGCATGTCGTCATATCAGTATGGCGTTATGCCAATATGTCAGCGTGTCGTCATATCAGCGTGTCGTCATGTCAGCATCTTGTCATGTCAGCGTGTCGTCATATCAGCGTGTCGTCATGTCAGCATGTTGTTATGTCAGCGTGTCGTCATATCAGCGAGTCGTCATGTCAGCGTGTCCTCATGTCAGCGTGTCGTCATATCAGCGAGTCGTCATGTCAGCATGTTGTTATGTCGGCATGTCAGTATGTTAGAATATCAGCATATCAGCATGTCAGCGTATTAGTATGTCAGCAGTTCGTCTTATCAGCATATCGGCATGTCGTCATATCAATATGTCAGCATGTTCTCTAATATTTCAAAAAGTCATGTTACCTTACTACAAGGTTCTCCCTGTCAATGAGTTCTTCCCCGTTTGGACCGGGCCCTTCACCGGCGGCAATGGCGCCACCTACAAACACGCTGTCGACAACAACATCTCTGCAGGGAAGCGCCTTTTCACGCTGACGGCTACAGATAAGGACAGTGGGGTGGATGGAGAGTTAATCTACGGGGAGTCACGGACATTTACTGGTCAGTGTATAGCATCTGTGTTGTCAGTCCTGGTGCCTTTGAAGGAGCCATGCCACGTCATACAAGTTCTCACAATGCCAAATAAACAATGTCGTGAATTGACATGACATAAAAAATAAAAGCGACAAAACCCTTTCAAAATATATTTGACATTTGAAAAGCAGAGCCCATTGTACGAATTCGACTAAATCAAAGCATGTGTTTCTGAATTACTATCAAACAGGGCTGCGACAACGTGAACGCATCACGCCTCACCTGTGGTATCAGTCACAAACACGTGCAAGGCAAGTCAATTAAGGAAATTGCATGGGAGATCAATTTGGTCACTGATGCGACGAATTTGGAATTTGTACGATTGTATTATTCCGATTTTATCATAAGCATGTGTCTATGAATCACTTTTAAATAGTGATGATACCAGGTGTTAGCGAAAAGGTCACTAATACATGCAAAGACAAGTCAATTGTTTATCTGAAAGAAGGCGGGAATATAAAGGGAATTGCATCGGACATCTGATGCGTCACATTTGGTAATGTCATCCACATATCCACCACAAAAAGTTTTGAAAGGTTTACTGAGGCTGTAACCTTATTCAATCAATCTTTTAGCAAGAGACGTATGACGCTCTTTGAAGTCTTTGTAAAAAAGAGCTGGAGCTGCTGGAATGTTCCTCGACATAAAGGGAAAATTGACTTTTGAAAAAAAGTTGAAGTCACCCCTCTTATCACACAGTCTTTTGGATAGTTTTTGTCACTCTGAATCCTTATGCATAGATTTAATTATGAAACGGGTGGGGTGATTTTTCTGGCCTCTTTTACTGCTGGTTCAGTGGGTAAATCAGTGGAAGGGAGTTGACTATTTGACCGTGTCCATTATTAACTATATCTGATTATTCATACATATACCCGAAGCTTCTAGGCAAAATTTCTGTGTTTTGATTTCGCCAATCTGAGCAGGAATTATATGCCTTAACAAACAGATCAGCAAGGAGTGCAACTAGTGCCCTTTAGGATGCTTAGCTCTTGCCTATATGTACTATTCCATACATACATGCGTCCAGCAATTGCCGCAACATGTGCTATCATTTTAAGCCAATTGTCTTTGCAGATAGACATTTTACGTGTATCAATGGTCACCACTTTAACTGACAAATACCCTATGTATCACAAAGTGACGTTTTTCCCTATGCTTTTCGTGTTGGAAAATGGGGTGTACAAAGTTTCAAAATCAAATGTTTGACATAATGCATCTTTCCCGAGGAAAGGGCGTCCATTGACCACAAAAGTCCAGTTTCCACCCTTGCCGATCGTAGCGCCACCAGTGGCTATTGCGAGTGATGTCCCTTCTATGGTCCTCCTATTGACCAATCCGATTCCAGCTCTCACATCACTTTCAACAAAATGGCGGAGCCCAGTCAAGACAATCTGATCGCTAATCAAGATCTACTTTGAAATAAAAGGGTCTTACCCCGCGTAGTGAATCAAATCAAGGGCGGAAACTGGACTTTTATAGTCAGTTAACGCCATTGCCTGGGGAAGATGGTCATAATGTAACTTGGTTCTTTTCTCAGGTTAAAATTTCATCTGTCTCAAATACTGTCTGTGACTAAAAAGAAAGTCTTTCATTGATTTTAATAAGGATTACAGTTAATCTTTGAAACAGTGATTTTGCGGTACATTTGCTGAACCCATCAATATATCTCTCATTGTAAAGGTTTTAGGGTTATGTCAAAAGTTGATAGTACTGATGCGAGGTTTTGGTCGATATCGTTCTCGCTTATACAGGTCTCATTTGTGTCATCGCTTGATTTTTCACGTACACCATAGTCACGTCGTTATTATTTGAGGACTTTTCAGTGGGATGAATTTAAAAACGTTCATGTTGGACAGACAGACAGGATGACAGCTGTATAATGGCATACAATACCAAAGTGTCATACAATACCACACAGTGTCATACAAATGTCACATGGTACGACGCATCCGTTATTGTAGGAAAGGCCACCGTTTTAGTTGTATTTTGCTTAACAATGCATTCCGCAATATCCCAGCTACATCATCGCGGCATGTTAATAATCGAATCTGGACCAGACAACCCAGTGACTCGATGGTACCCGGGGTATGATAGTCACCGAGCCTCACTCTGATCAGTGTCAGTCGCCTACTACAACTAGATTGCTTGTTGGGGATCTATTCTTACCCAAAATTGCCACGGAGGCTGACGTTAAATAGCAAGGAGTGACATAGAGGCAGGCATAACACAATAATGTGTATCCATCTTGTACCATTCGAACACTTATTCGGCCGATGTCCGTCTGTGGCTGCAAATGTTTAGGACGCTGTGTGTAAAACTGTCAATAAACTAAAATTGATGAAATATATATGTATACTAAATGCAGTCCCCTCTAACAGAAAACGGCAGCGAGACGGAGTTCATTTTCCATGTGAAGGAGTCTGGCGCAGTCCATGCAATTATTGACATAGCAGCTCCGTCTGTGTACAAACTTGACGTGTTTGTGTCGGACAAGGGGAAGCCCCGCAAATCCATCAATGCTACCATCACCATTGACGTTCAAGTAAGTATTACAAAAAATATGACATACGACGATATCAAGTGTATGACCTTTTTTAGTAGGAAAGAGAAGTTGCGCTTAGAGCTGTATATCCCCCTTGGTACTGGAACAGTATGCGAAACCAATATCCTTCCTTCCCCTGCTGGGGTAGCCTAGTGGTTAAAGCGTTCGCTCGTGACGCCGACGGCCCTGGATCGGTTCCCGACATGGGTACAATGTGTGAAGTCCATTTCTGGTGTCCCCCGTCGTGATATTGCTGGATTATTGCTAAAATCGGCGTAAAATACATACTCACTCCTTGTTTTTGAATAATTCATAGAGCGGTGCAAAACCGTACTCACAGGAGAGGTAAGATACAGTTGGAGTTTCAGTTTAAAAAATTAGTGGTATCATAGGTCTTTTCTTGTGTACATATTCACTGTCTGTTCGTAAACTGCAGTGGTTTGGACCTTTCACAATGAGATAACACATCTTGTATATCAAGAAAATATTTCTAATTAATTAAGTGATTTGGACCTTTTACAACCACGGAAAAAGTAACTGTGCTTCATATAAAGTCAAGTAAAAATGAATTCATTCTGAAATTAATGATGCATCTTTCAATACATATCCATGAAGACATCTCCTCGACTTGAAGGTCGTGTTTCACAATTTGTACGTCCATGTTAATGCACGGCGCATGATTTGGATGATGTGTTGTTTGGGAGCATGATACTCACACGTGTGTGTTTTTTTGGATTATATGAAGAGCAAACAAAGATTCTCATAAAAACACGTTGGTTTAACGTAAATAACGCCACGGCTTGCTGCAATCAACGTCTTCGCGCCGTGTGTATGCTGAAAACAGCAATGGCGCAAAACGAAGTTGCCAGACATTTTAATGTTAAACACAATAGTATCTCAGCAGGGCAACACCCACGACTTCCCACGAGCCGGTAGTCCATGTGTGACGTCAAGTCCACAACACAACCAGTGGGTGCATCTACGGAATCGATACCAAACTGCTACATTAACAGCTTGGACAATTCCTGGGTTGAGGCCAATTAGTGACAGATCCGTACGCACAACATCCGGCCCCGACGTCAAGCGATGCGCCCAATTTTTCTTCCGCGTCACAGTTAGGCACGCCTTGCTTGGTTTAGACAGCATCTGAGGTTCAGAAGACAAGACCTGTCTGTTTTAGTATGCTGTTCACAGACGAGTCCAGGTTTCATCTGGACAGCTCTGATGGTCTACGGCGTCCAGGAGAAAGTTTTAGCGACGCTTGCGTTACCCAACATCGGGTTGGATGTGTAATTGTGTGGCTAGACATCTCATCTTATGGGAGAACATTGTTGATGGCATATTTGAATGACGTACGCAACCGGGACGATATCGTTCGAGACTATATTCTGCCCTTTCAGCAAAGGGAGCGAGGGGAAGAGTGTGACGTCACGTTTCGGCAGGATAATGCCCGCCCACAGGTTGCACGTGTTGCACGTGTTGAGGCAACATAAGATTGCTTTCCTGCCATGACCGGCTGTTTCTTCAGACCTCCCCTTTACAGAACATGTTCGGGATGAGATTGCTCGACGCCTACGACAGGACCAGAACCAGTCGGTAACGCTAGCTCAGTTAAACCAATCTTTGGTTGACACATGGAATAACATCCCTCAGACTGTTTTCAGTCATCTGGTATCTTCAACCCACCGCCGCTGCCTCCCTGTATCAAGAGACCTTTCACTATCAGACACCACATCTTGTATATCTAGTATCTATTTCTGTATACTTTAATGGTATGTACAACCCACTATGAAATAACACAACTTGTATATCTGGTATATATTTGTGGATAGTGCAATGGTGTGGTCAAATGAGTCTGATATATGGCGTTGAGATGACACAGGTTTTCCATTGTCTGTTTCAGAAATATGAAACGCAAACGCCAGAGAATATTCAACCATCAGCCAGAGGGCTTCGCTGGGCTCAGAAGAATACCGATGGAAACATTGTCCTTGACCTTCCTAAAGACAGCAATGTTGGCACCATCCTGGCCACAGTGAAAGCTGACGGTGTGGAAGGAACGATCACCTATGAAATGGCAGGAGTCGAACTCGGTACAGAGTATATTATTATGATCATCATCATCATCACCATCATCATCATTCATCATCATTAGTAGTAGTAGTAGTAGTAGTTGTAGTAGTAGTAGTAGTAGTAGTAATAGTAGTAGTTGTAGTAGTGGTAGTTGTTGTTGTAGTAGTAGTAGTAGTAGTAGTAGTAGAAGTAGTTGTAGTAGTAGTAGTAGTAGTAGTTGTAGTAGTAGTAGTAGAAGTAGTTGTAGTAGTAGTAGTAGAAGTAGTTGTAGTAGTAGTAGTAGAAGTAGTTGTAGTAGTAGTAGTAGAAGTAGTTGTAGTAGTAGTAGTAGAAGTAGTTGTAGTAGTAGTAGTAGAAGTAGTTGTAGTAGTAGTAGTAGTAGTAGTTGTAGTAGTAGTAGTAGTAGTAGTAGTTGTAGTAGTAGTAGTAGTAGTTGTTGTTGTAGTAGTAGTAGTAGTAGTAGTTGTAGTAGTAGTAGTAGTAGTAGTAGTTGTAGTAGTAGTAGTAGTTGAAGTAGTAGTAGTAGTAGTAATAATAGTAGTTGTAGTAGTAGTAGTTGTTGTTGTAGTAGAAGTAGTAGTAGTAGTAGTAGTTGTAGTAGTAGTAGTAGTAGTAGTAGTAATAATAGTAGTTGTAGTAGTAGTAGTTGTTGCTGTTGTAGTAGTAGTAGTAGTTGTAGTAGTAGTAGTAGTAGTAGTAGTAGTAGTAGTAGTAGTAGCATATGATGGTGTATATCATTAATGGCATATTATTGAGCATACTTATGTAAATAAAACCCCTCCTATCACCAGATGGGAAGCCGACACAGGAACAGTTCCTGTTCTTGATGCAAAATGGCAAATTGATGGCTTTGAAGACAAATGACGACTACAAAGAAAAGGCGAAACATTACATCAGGGTCAGCGTCGTGGCGACGTCGGGAAAAGGAGCTACAAAACAGCGGATTGAGTGCACCGTCACCATCAACCTCGTCACCAGCAGCGTTGTAAGTGTCGCCGATAATGAACAGTTACTTTAGAACATGACAATATATATTATTTATATTATTCTATTAGAGGTTGCAGACTTGATAGTTTCTTTTTCTTTTGCTTTTGAAGGTTTTTTATTGTTTTTATTTGTTTTCTTGTTCATTTACATTTCTGCATCCAAACACCTTTCTTCCACTGATGTCAAATCTACATTTTCGCAGCCCGCGAATCATCCGCCAAAATGGGTTGTTCCCTTTTCCGGTGACGACGGTGCAGCTGGTACCGTTGACGTCGCCGAGACCATGGAGCCAGGGTCAACCGTGACGCTGGTTAAAGCTACAGACCAGGACAGTGGCCCAGCGGGAAAGGTGACATACAGGATTAGCTCCATAATCAACGGTAGGTAACAGCGTGGTTCTAACCTGTAGGGATGTGAACCTGTAGTGGCAGGTGAGCTTTAGCGTGGGAGATCGGCATGGGAAGTGTCAGAGTCTGTTTCCGTTACCGTTCAATAGGTAACGTTCTGCATGTGCAGCCTAACGGTGTGATGTAGTTCTCGAAAAGACACACTCGACGTTCATGGAGTTTCTTAAAATCAAACATTCGAGTTGCTCTACGAAATCAATATTCATGTTGTTTTTTTCAAATCCCACACAAGAGTTCCTCTGTGAAACCGACATGCATGTAGTTTGGAATATGTCTTGAACAACAGACAATATTTATTTCCAGACAAAGGTGCCGATGCCATGAATCAGTTCAGCTTTGACCCCAACACGGGCATCCTAACAACGATGTCCGACCTTGACCTAGAGGACGGTGCCAAGTCCTTCAAGATCATCCTGAACGCCATAGATGAAGGCAAGCCGCAGCAGAAGATCAGAGGCCTCCTCACCATAAAAATAACGGATGTCAATGAATATCCACCTGCTCTTGATCAATCGTTCTATACTGCAACCGTCAACTGTGAAAAACAGGAAGGTGACGACATCCTCAGAATCAAAATGTCAGATAAAGATGCTACGAGTAAGTTCAAACTTACCTCTTCCAAGAAGAGTGACTATGTCAAGATAGAAACCGTCGGCCCTGACACTGCTGCTGTGTTTCTGGAGTCGCGACCATCACATGCATTGTACAAAGAAGACCATTTCCAAGAGTTCTTTCCCCTTCTTTTGTCTGATGGTGGTGTCCCAGAACCCAAAACCTCCACCGGCTACATGATAATAAAGTACACGAAATGTAATGCCGAGATCCGAACAAAGGCCCCTTTGCAACCAATGCCGGAAGTGACGACATCGAAACCTACCGAGCCACCTCCGAAGGACCACAGTGTTGGAGGCGGGGAAGGAATTCCTCAACAGACGACGAAAGACAACGGGAATGGGGAATCGTCCGAGCCGACGACGGAGTCGGTGACTACAGAGGATGGAGAAGTCACTGGTTCGACCTTGACATTGCCTGATGACGGCACTGCGGCGTCGGAATCTCCCCCGTGGTTTGTTCCCTCATCACATCCTAGCGACATCACTCCACGCACCACCACTGACGACAGTCATGATAAAGGAAACAAAACTAACACCAACCAAGGAGAGTCAGGTTAGTGTCAGTCTTGCTCCGTATTATATTTTTGACTTTATATGATCTCACGACCTGCTTTCTATGGATTTGGAAAAAAACTATCTTGGAATACGGATCTATAAGAACAGGTATTGATCTGATATAAAGCTTTAATTGTTCTATTATATAATAATGTGACAAAAGCATGTTCAACATATCAAACTGCGCTAGCTACAATAACCTAGTAATAATCTTAGGAGGTTCTTCTGAACTGAAACATCTCATTTGTTTAGGTCTGGGAAACCATAACTCAATTCACACCCAACATCGATTCTATATACATTTCTGTCGAATGACACGTGAACGCCTCTCGGCCAATGAATATGGCAGGAGTTTCTGCGTTGTCAATCAAACCACATTTCTGACCAATCAGTTATGTCCATATTAAGAATGGAATCTGGATCTTCGACGCAAGTGCGTTAACCCTTCAGAATAGCCAGTGCACCTTAAGTAAAAAGACATTTCTAAATCCTCCCTCTTTGTAAAAAGTCAAATTCAAGAATATTTAGTGAGATTGTTCATGGGTATACCTCGTTATTGGTTAAGGATGTGTATCATGATAATATCCACCTCGGAAGGCAGACTGACACGTCTGGACATGATCTTGTGTTACGGCAAGTTGTTTGTTTGTTTGTTTGTTTGTTGTTTAACATCACACTCAGCAATAGTCCAGCTACGACGGTTTGTAATTAAGCGAGTCAGGACGAGACAATCCAGGGGTTGATAAAATGAATGTTACGGTCGTGTTTGTGCACAGGTGGTTCACGTGTGGGAGGGGGAGGAGGACATGAATCACCGGAGTGGGTGGTCAGATCTCTCTGCATCGTCCTCTTTCTCGGCTACGTCGCCCTTGGGGGCATTTACATCGCCAAGAAATAGTGAGTAGATAGCAACAAGGTGTACCATGGAACAACGGGGCAGCGTTCACATGCTCTGTTTGTTTGTTGTTATTTTATGCCGCAGTCGGCAATATATTACCTATATGATGAGGACAGCTGATCTTATCTGAACCAGAAAGTAGCAAATCACTCTCTTTGCGCAGAGACCTAGCAACCTATATTCATCCCCTTCTCAGCTCCAGCAACCTATACTCATCCCCTTCTCAGCTCTAGCAACCTATACTCATCCCCTTCACAGATCTAGCAACCTATATTCATCCCCTTCTCAGCTACAGCAACCTATATTCATCCCCTTCTCAGCTCTAGCAACCTATACTCATCCCCTTCTCAGCTCTAGAAATCTATACTCATCCCCTTCTCAGCTCTAGCAACCTATATTCATCCCCTTCTCAGCTCCAGCAACCTATACTCATCCCCTTCTCAGCTCTAGCAACCTATACTCATCCCCTTCTCAGCTCCAGCAACCTATATTCATCCCCTTCTCAGCTCCAGCAACCTATATTCATCCCCTTCTCAGCTCCAGCAACCTATACTCATCCCCTTCTCAGCTCTAGCAACCTATACTCATCCCCTTCTCAGCTCTAGCAACCTATACTCATCCCCTTCTCAGCTCTAGAAATCTATACTCATACCCTTCTCAGCTCAAGCAAACTATTCTCAACCCCTTCCCAGCTCTTGCAACGATTCTCATCTCCTTCTCAGCTCTAGCAACCTATACTCATCCCCTTCTCAGCTCTAGCAAACTATACTCATCCCCTTCTCAACACTAGCAACCTATACTCATCCCCTTCTCAGCTCTAGCAACCTATACTCATCCCCTTCTCAGCTCTAGCAAACTATACTCATCCCCTTCTCAGCTCTAGCAAACTATACTCATCCCCTTCTCAGCTCTAGCAAACTATACTCATCCCCTTCCCAGCTCTAGCAACATATACTCATCCCCTTCCCAACTCTAGCAACATATACTCATCCCCTTCACAGATCTAGCAACCTATAGTCATCCCTTTCCCTGCTCTAGCAACCTATACTCATCCCCTTCTTAGCTTCAGCAACATATACTCACGCCCTTCTCAGCTCTAGCAACATATACTCATCCCCTTCTCAACTCTAGCAACCTATACTAATCCCCTTCTCAACTCTAGCAACATAGACTCATCCCCTTCTCAACTCTAGCAACATATACTCATCCCCTTCTCAACTCTAGCAACATATACTCATCCCCTTCTCAACTCTAGCAACAAATACTCATCCCCTTCCCAACTCTAGCAACCTATACTCATCCTCTTCACAGATCTAGCAACCTATAGTCATCCCTTTCCCAGCTCTAGCAACCTATGCTCATCCCCTTCTTAGCTTCAGCAACCTATACTCATCCCCTTCTCAGCTCTAGCAACCTATATTCATCCCCTTCTCAACACTAGCAACATATACTCATCCCCTTCTCAACTGTAGCAACCTATACTCATCCCCTTCTCAGCTCTAGCAACCTATATTCATCCCCTTCTCAATACTAGCAACATATACTCATCCCCTTCTCAACTGTAGCGACATAGACTCATCCCCTTCTCAACTCTAGCAACATATACTCATCCCCTTCTAAACTCTAGCAACCTATACTCATCCCCTTCTCAGCTCTAGCAACATATACTCATCCCCTTCACAGATCTAGCAACCTATAGTCATTCCTTTCCCAGCTCTAGCAAACTATACTCATCCCCTTCTCAGCTCTAGCAACATATACTCATCCCCTTCTCAACTCTAGCAACATATACTCATCCCCTTCTCAGCTCTAGCAACATATACTCATCTCCTTCTCAGCTCTAGTAACCTATACTCATCCCCTTCACAGATCTAGCAACCTATAGTCATCCCCTTCTTAGCTATAGCAGTCTACACACATCCCCTTCTCAGCTCCAGGAAATTAAGAAACGTGAAGGTTCCATAATGTATTATTATTTTTATTATCTTTATACATGTCGGGGAAAGTTTGTGTTAGTGTGACTTTGCACATACTACTGTGTCGAGCCCAGCCCGTAGACATACAGTGAAACCTGAATATAACGAACACCAAACGGTTTGTTACGTCAGTAGTTCGTTATTTGCGTAACGCGATAATTTGTCCACCATTTCGGATTGGCGAAAGCTTGTCGGTACCCCCTTCTACTGATTATTTTTGTTGTTATCAATATTCCTTCCTCTTCAGCTCTCTCATCAACTTGAACTGTTTACGTCCCAAGACGGCTGTCCACCCGCGTGCCGATCACGGAGACGGACACGGTGCGTTATCCTCTGCAGAAGAGCATCACTGCTTTAATTTAATATATCCCCACCAAACAAAGATAATCTTAAAGATGCCGACGGGGGAGACACATATTTAGTATATTTATCCAAAGTCATGCGACTTAACAATAATGACATCCTCGGCTATCCAGGGTATAATATTTCCATTCCATCTTGATAAATACTCTGGGCACATTCGCTGTCTAAGTTGTGAAGTATGCAGACTGTGTAGACTCTTATTCCACAAATGCAGCTCTTGCGTCGTACCAGTTTACTCCATAGATAAATGTATTCAGGTAATTGCATATTTCAGACAACAACGACAACGGCCCTGGCGGCTCCGTCATGGACTACGGCGAAAGACAGGCCGACAACATGCCGGACATAACCGCCGCCCTGGCTATCGCCTCCCCCAACTACATGGACTCGTACCCCCGGGAACTTCCCCAGCCTCCTACCGTCACAACAACGCCCGCCATAACACCCGTGCCCCCAACCCCGTCTGTCCCCTCGGTACCCCTCCCTCCCATCCCCTCCATTCAGACTCAACCTCCACCGGCTGTGCCACCGTTATCGACAACAACATCACAGGTTAGTACTCAGTGGGTGAATAAAGGGTCGAAGTCAATAAAACTTTTTACAAATCGGAGTTCTGAGGGGGGCACGGGTGGCCCAGTCGTCTAAGGCGCCGTGATTCGCTGTGCAGAGTTGCGTCCCTTGGGCACGCCAGAAACCTTTGATTGTGGGTTCGAATCCCGGTTCGCCCCGATTATGTTTCTAGGTTTGTCAGCACCATACCCGTGCTCGTGGGTTTCACCGAAGTGGTAAACGTCGGAGACCTGCATCACTTCGGGCTTTCCTCCCACATTAAGCTGACACGCCGCGATATAACTGGAATACTTTTAAAAGCGGCGTTAAACCCAACTCACTCACTCACTCAGAGTTCTGTGAGAAGACACGTGGCGGGATACATTCACATCAGGAAAATTCCAAACGAACGTCGTGTAAAAAATAGATCTCGAAAAGAATCCTTCGCTAAAACAGTATATGCTGAACAGAATTATCAATACATTTCTTGTAAACAAACTACAACAGATGATCCTGTAAAGCAAGTCGAGCATACGTAAGCTCATTCCACCTCTCTTTTAGGGAACTATTGTATTCCGCGATACAGCTGGTGGTTGTATGGCTGTCAGTGGAAACATGAAGTCACGCGTATAGATCTAGCTCTACATCCCTAGGGGTATAAAATAATGATAGAAAAAATAAGAAGAATTGACTTTCATTTTGTGTGAGTTCATTAATGAATCTTCATAGAGTGAGGGCCAAACATTGGATGAACGTCGTCGCAAGATAATATAACCATGATCACAAAACATTTTGTAAAAAAGTTATATTTCATGAAAATGTCCCTTTTAGTTTAGGATAGGTAACTGACGGAGAATAAAAGCGACGAAAAGTGAGATTTGAAGCAATGGGTTCTGTATATTGGCCTGAGGATATATCTGTTTGTTCTTTCAGATGCCACCTAAGTTTCTGCCGCCTCTCCCCGAGGTTACCCGAAGACAGCCGGAGACATAAGACGTGGAGAGGTCCCATCAGCTATGTAGACACGACGGGTGGGAGGTGTGATTGCATGAGAAAACATACACTTACCTTTAGGTTGGGAAGTACATCAAATCGGTGAATGCCAAACATACAAATCTCAGCTTCTGTTACCTCAAAAGTTCCACATCCAGTGGACGTGCAAATATATTTTCTGCAAATATTACACAAAGTTCCCCAGTCATTAATATATTTGTCAGGGACACACACTTATTTTGTAGGATGTCAATACTGAAATGCAATTTTATCAATTACGCTACATTAGATAGTGTTCAAATGATATGTAGAGAATATGCTGAATCGTACATAAAATATGTCCTTTAAGGAATGTTATTGTTGGAGTGTCCGACAAGAACCATATATATATATCGATTTTTTCCAAAGAGGTATTGATACACGCTTTTTAGCGAATTACATGATGCATGAATTTCAGAGTTATAGAGTGTAGTATCATGTTTATATGTATTTAATCTGGGGAGAATACCGGTTATTGTTATTTACATCTCAGATGCGATAGCCTGCGTTGTCTTGAAACGGGAATTAACCCATTATCATCAATAGTCGTTGTCTAGACATGTTTGTGAAGCAATAGCAGCTGTTGAACGTGTATATAATCATTTGGTATATGCTTGTCACTTGCTGGCAATTCTTCCTCATCCTTCCTCGCCCTATACTTGTGAGGTATCACCGGTAAGATTAAGCTCACCGGCACACTATGCTGGTCATACGAGGCTGCCAGAATGGCCAGGCTCAGTGACTTGGTTGATTTCATGTCATCGTACCCCGACGGCGTGGGAAGGTGCTCGTAATATCAATCACTGGTTTGTATGGTCCTGACCGCCGCCATATAACTGTAATATTGATGTTTGTGGCATCAAACAAACACATTTCATCCTGTAGGCCTGGTTACTTTCACTGCCATCATTGTTTTCAGTTGTCGTTCTGATTCCGTCACCTACTGCTAAATACATAACGTCAAGGCCAGAGAACTCTTGATAACTGCCGATACAGAATCCACTGGTCGTAAGAGGCAAAATAGGGGTACAGAATCTATGAATGGATCACTGAAATTCAGTGAGGACACCAGGTGTTCGCCAAACACCCGTACACGTCACGATATGTACCTCACTGAACTGTTAAAAGGTGTTTGCACCATCTCAGGGGCGGTCGGGTAGCCTAGTGGTTTAAGCGTTCGTTCGTTCGTCACGCCGAAGACCTTGGTTCGATTCCCCACATGCGTACAATGTGTGAAGCCCATTTCTTGTGTCCCCCGCCGTGATATTGCAGGAATATAGCTAAAAGCGGCGTAAAACCATATTCGAACGAGAGATTTATGGGTGGCAAGCGCTTTATTGTGAAGTACAAACATACTTTGTTGCGAATGTTCTTACACCGTCATCTTCAACAGGTGTACCTACTGGTGATAATTGTTCACTTCACGTTTCTAAAGAGGAACTGTTGAGTTTAAATTACAAATAAATGCATCAACAGGTTTCAGTGATCCATTCACATTCTTTCACTGCTATTTTATCTGCTACACTCAATGGAATCTGTTTCAACAGATAATCGAGACTGGTTATGTTCTAGCATTGACGTTTTATAATTAATTAATTTATTATACTCTTTTGTTGTTTTATATTCAGTTTCTGGGATTATTAAGAAGCTTGTATTTTATTATCATCTTATCATCTTCTGTGCTCTATATTATATGTCAGATTATATATTTTATATATTGTTTATATCAACATTAAATGGAATATCTATACTTTCACAAAATTCAGCCGTCGTCAAACTGTACATACACACTCGAATGTGAATTTATGGACTTTGATTCGTTTGCTATTTTCCACCTAAAGAAACTTGTAGTGGTGTTGATATGTGTTTTATGACCTCGAAGTTCTTACACCGTTCTTTTACAAGATCGTATGTAACGCAATCGAATATTGCGAACTAACCAGTCCAAATTTCTGAGCAAAGAAAATTTTGGTCATGTATTTCTCATTATATAATGAGTTTATTCATCTAATTCCTTTAAATGAAAATATTTTACAGAAAAAACAGTTAAATTATCTAAAGAAATATATTCAAAAGGAGCCCAGAGATTCTCTTCCTGAAACTGAAGTAATCTAGACTTGTCAACTATCATAGACTTGTAAAGGCTCTATTTGATATTCTTTTCAGGGTCTCTACAACAGACTACGATTTCATAACAGCAGTGTTATCTTTATACTCGCTCTTATCATGTGAACATATCCCAACCAAACAATAGACTTGTTGATGAATTGTACTCCTAACATTTATTAATAGTTTGTATTTTTACAAGAAATATACTTTAAACAAGTTAAGCGTTATCAATGTGAACTGTTCGGACAGAAAGACACACCGAGTGAATAGAGCATTTCAAACTAGCGTTTACCGTTTTCTTGCCACAAATGGTGTTACCTTTATAGACAAATAATAACGAAACATTTGCCTTTTAAATAGTTGTGCAAATACGCGTTTTACTAACAGTAATATTTCGTCAACTTCGTTGGCCGGAAAAACGCACCATTTCAACTGAGGTAAGAAAAATAGGACATCAGCATGTTTCACATCTGTTCATGTTCTGCCACCACGAGCTTATTCAGTGTGTGAGTGAGTGAGTATGGTTTTACGCCGATTTTAGCAATGTTCCATCAATATCATATGGGCTTCGCACATTGTACCCATGTCGGGAATCAAACCCGGGTCTTCTGCGTGACGAGCGAACGCTTTAACCACTAGGCTACCCGACCGCCCATTACCACGAGTTTATGTGCCCATTCTTATCATCATCTTGCAAAGCAAATTAAATATCTTCTCCCGCCAATGAAAGTGGCGTGCTTATTTCCCACATATTCATTTTTGTTTTCAAGTTCACTGTTACCTATATAATTGTTCACGCAGTCAGTATATGTAAAATGTAACTTGAGTGGTTCTTTAGAATGTGTCCCGTTAAACTCCTTTTGTTTTAAAAACTGTTAATCCGGACGATTTCAATGCGATTTACGAGATTTCACTGTATTCAATTACCTACTGAAGAAATCAGCGAGTGTCCTGAGAGACGTTTACTTTTTCATCGTGAAAGTAAGTTTGTCGAAACATGATCGTTGTGTTATATAAGACTTAGTATATTCATGCTTACTGGTGACCTATTGCTTCAGCTTTGGTTTCTACTGAATACTTTAGACATTGGAATATATTGTTGCACATTATGTAGTTGATATTTTAAAGACATAATTATATAAGAATATATTGTTGCACATTATGTAGTTGATTTTTTATAGCCAGAGGAATATATTGTTACACATTTTGTAGTTGATATAATTTAGTCACAGGACGATATTGTTACAAAGTATTTAGTTGATTTTCTGTAAACATAGGAATGTATTGTTACACATTATATAGTTGAAATACTTCAGTCATAGGAATATACTGTGTCACATTATGTTGTTGATTTTCTTAAGACATAGATATATATTGTTATACATTATTTAGTTGATTTTCTTTAGACATAGGATTTATATTGTTACACATTATTTAGCTGATTTTCTTTACACATAGGAATATGTTGTTGCACATTTTTTAGTTGATATACTGTAGACATAAGAATATATTGTTACACAATATTTACTGATTTTCTTTAGACATAGGAATATAATATTGTACATTATTTAGTTGATATACCTCAGAAGTATGAATATAGTGTTACACATTGTGTAGTTTATATACATTAGATACAGGAATATATTTACAAATTATGTAGTTGATTTTCTTTAGACATAGGAATATATTGTCACAAATAATTTAGTTGATTTTCTTGACGGTTGTTGTAATATGTCACCTACAGTTCAATCAAATATCAGTTTCACATCTGAAGAAATATGGTTTTCAAATGCCTGCCTCATACTTGATATTAAATATATATCACCTGTCTATATTACAAATAACTACAGTCAGCTGCGCCATACGCCTATACTTAATGTCTTTGACCTTTTGCATGACAGACTTTGTTTTTGTTTTCTTTGTTGTTGTTTGTTTGTTTGTTTGTTGTTGTTTGTTTGTTTTGGGGTTGTTGTTTTTTTGGGGGGGTGGGGGGTGGGGGGGGGGGGGGGGGATTCAACTGCAGCTACAAAACCAGATGTTCTCTATTTAAACCTATCAGCCTAATTTCCTATTTTTCATATTAAGATACCTTGCAACAATGTCATTTTTGTGGAAGGCATTTTTTTTCAAAATTCTGAAGCTACATCATTTTTTTAAGAAGTTACGGGGACAATTATCATATTTACATGTTGTCGTAAGATGCGAGTAACGGGATCGGGTGGTCAGGCTCGCTGACTTGGTTGATGCATGTCATCGTATCCGTATTGCGTAGATCGTGTTCATGGTCAATCGCTGGATTATCTGGTCCAGACTCGATTTTTTCCAGACCGCCGCCATAGAGCTAGAATATTGTGGAGTGCGGCGTTAACCAACAAACAAACAAATCAGACATTCGAGAGTACCTTGCGCATATGATTCGTTTTCCCAGACACTTGTTAATGCAGATGATTTCATACCGTCCGGATTAACGAGGTTTCACTTCTTGGATCTGTTATTGCCCATCCATCAGGGACGTCTGTCACATCGACCTGCCTGGAGTGGCTTGGACAGCGTCTGATACCTTGCATCCACCACATGGGACATATCGGTGACAACATCTGTTCAGTGTATGACGTGCTTGAAGGATATCCCTGTCACAAGGCTTTGGCTATGTGTGGACTATTATTTTTAGTGATGAATGTTCTCTGTGTTATATTTTCGAAAATCACGTATCCATGACCACGAATGCACATATGTTGATACTGGTGAAGTGATTTGATCTGCTCCTCTAACTCGATCATGTCCGATGTCCTGTCAAACGTGTTTATATTTATCTTTCACAGTTATCACAAATCACTGTCAGTGTTGTTAAA